AAAAACCAAATAAGAGCAGTAGATTTTTGGGAAAAAATAGTTTTAAAAAAAATGAGAGCTATACAAGAAAGTTACGAAAAGAAAATTAAAAGCTTGGTAAAAAAGGTATTAAAGCTTTACTGAAGAAAATAACTCCCTGAAAATAAGAATTGGTCAAATGAAAGCTAATGACTCCATGAAACATCAATAAATAATAAAGTTAAAAGACTAGAAAAACAGAAGAAAATGTGAAATATCTCATAGGAAAAACAACTGATCTGGAAAAAAGGTCAATGAGATATAATTAAGAATCACTAGACTACCTGACAGGCATGAACAAAAAAAAATCTTAGATATCATATTTCAAAAAATTATAAAAGACTGCCCAGTTATCTTAGAACCAGAAGAAAAAACAGAAATTGAAAGAAACCAACAGTCACATCTTGGAAAAAAAAAATCCCAAAATGAAAACTCCCAGGATTATCATAGCCAAGATCCAGAACTCCCAGGTCAAAGAGAAAACACTGTAATCAGCCAGAAAGAAAGAATCCAAGTACTACAGAGCCACAGTCAGGATCACACAAGATTTAGCTGCCACCACTACAAAGGAACAGACAACTTGGAATATGGTATCCCAGAAGGAAAAGAATCTAGGATTACAAGCAAGAATAACGTACCCACCAAAACTGAGTAAAATCCTACAAGTGTGAAAAACGGTCATTTAATGAAATAGAAGACTTTCAAATATTCACTACGAAAAGGCTAGAGACAAGAAGAAAACTTGACAGGTAAACAGCATAAGGAACTTTTTATTTCAAAATTTTCCTTCTTTTATTATAATGACTATTTGGTGTACTCTCAGACTATCTGGTCATCTGGTATAAGGGAAAGATATTGAGAAAGATAATGAAAGATACTGAGTCAAAACATTTGGGTTTGTGGCCTAACACTGAAATTTACTAGGTGTGAGACTATGAGTAAATTCACTAAGTCTTAGAGATAAAACATGGACAATAACAATTGTGCTCCCTATCTTATAGAGCGGTTGTGATAAAAGCACTTTTTAAAATGTAATATTACAAAACAAATGTGAAACACTATTGTTGTTGACTAGTTGCTTAATCTCACCATTCAACAACAAGTAAGTAATATCTAAAAAGAAAGTCTTCTAAAATGGCCATGTAAATCAGCAAAGGCCATTAGGCCAGGCAGGAAAGAAAAAACAGTGGCAACAGGCTGGTAAAAACTTTTTTAAAACTCAAAATAAAACCCTCTTGGGGTTTGTGGAAAGATGGCAACATTTTAGAACACAGGAGTCCAGATGCCCTAGAATCATCCCAGAAAAACTATAAAAATGAACCAAAAAGAAACAACAATAAAGACAACCCAAGAGAAACAACTACATGCTCCTCCATCTAGCTCAGGGTTGCACAAAAAGAATGCCAGGATCCTGAAGAAGCTTGGAGCATAGACATGCATAGGCAAAGAGAAGCCAAAGTCCTTAATTACAGCAACAGACAGGGCCTGATGAACACCCAAGCAGCACGTCAAAAAAACTGAAACAAAACAAAACAAAAATAAAAACTGGCAGCTCAGCATCTGAGCAGCCCCAAACAAGGAACATCAGAAGAATGGGTCTGATCAGCTCCCCACAGCTCAGTGTGATGTACCCTCTAAGTTCTGTGCCCAGGCAGCTTAGAACCTGCCTAAAATAGAGTAAAGGGCCAGCTATCAGAAATCAGTACCCAAGAATCTCAGTGTAGGCTCAGGCAGTGCAGCTTCCAGGTAACCTAGCACCAAGTGAGCCCAGATCCAAGCAACAGCAGAAAAAAGTGCCACAGAAGCAACTGGGAAGCAAAGCACCCAAGGTCTCCCAAAAGACCTGTTAAAAGAACCATCAGCAACATCTAAGTGGGACCTAACAGGTTCACAGCAAGGGACAGATCTGTCTGTATTTTTCAAACACTAGATTTCTGTGGTCATTTGCTGCTGTGTATTATGGACCAAATCTATTCCACTGATTTACTACTCTATTTCTTAGTTAAGTCAGTATCAGATTGTTTTCATAATTACTGCTTTATAATATAGCCTGGAATCCAGTACTGCTAGGCTGCCTTCCTTTGCATTTTTTTTCCATTGAGTTTCTTGATATTCTTGACCTTTTGTTCCTCCAGAAGAATTTTGTTATGATTTTTTTTCTAGCTCTATAAAATGATTTTTGGTACTTTGGCATGGCACTGAATAAGTAAATTAATTTAGGTAGAATTATCATTTTTATTATATTGGCTCAGCATACTCATGAGTAATGAATACTTCTCTCAATTTTTTAGATCTGTCTTTATTTGTGTGAAATAGATGATTTCAGAGACATGCAAATACTTGTGTGAAATGATGCTGAACAAAGTACACAGAACCAGAACAATTTATACATATAATCAATATAATAAAAACAATTTTGAAAACTTTTATAAATTGATAAATAGTTAAATAAGTAGATCCAGAAGAACAATTTGTACAATAAAAACAAAAACGTAAAGACAAACAACTTTAAAAGATGTAGGAAATATGATCAATGCAATGACCATCCATGATTCCAAAAGACTGATGATGATACGTGCTATCTACCTCCTGACAAAGAGGTGAAGGATTTGGGGTGCAGAATGAGACATATATTTTTCGAATACAGCCAATGAAGGAATTTATTTTGCTTGAGCATACATATTTGTTATGAGGAATTTTCTTTTTTTTCTGCATAGATGAGGGAGGAGTAGGAGGGAAAGAAAATAAATTTCAATAAATTTAATAACACTTTTTAAAGAATCAATGACTTGGCATAGATGGGATGCTCATCAAATGCACACATGACACAAAGCTGGGAGAGCTAGCTAATACAGTGAATGAGAGTGAAGATCCAAAAAGATCTTGAGTCAAATCTAGTAAGATGAAATTAATAGTGATAAATGTGAAGTCTTTCCCTTGGGTTCAAAAAATCCATTTTAGAAGTACAAGATGGGAAAAGGGGTGGTAGAGAAAGAGGAATAGTTAGATAGCATTTGGTTTGAAAAAAATCTGAGTGTTTTAGTGGACTGCAAGCTCAATGATTTGTGAAGTAATTGCCAAAAACGCTAATGCAATCTTGGGTTGCAATAAGAGAGGCATAGACTACAGAAGACAAGGTAATAATTCTTTATACTCTGTTCTGGTCAGACCACAGCTGGATACTGTTTTCAGTTCTGGGTACGAAAGTTTAGGAATGACATGGTTAAACTAGAAAGCACCCAAAAGAGGACAACCTTTAGGAGGAGATATATTAGGATTAGCTGAAAAAAAAACGGCAGATGAAAGAAAACAAACAAAACAAAACAAAAACTAGAGATGTTTATCCTTGGGGAAAGAAGGCTTGGGGGAGAGATATGAGTTGTTTTCAAGTATGTGAAAGGCTGTCACATGGAAGAAGGGTTAGATTTGATCCGTTTGACTTCAAATGTAGAAATAGTAGCAATGGGTGAAAGTTGTTGTTCAGTCATATCCAACTCTTAATGAATCCATCTGGGGTTTTCTTGGCAAAGACACTGAAGCAGTTTGCCACTTCCTTCTCCAGCTCATTTGAGAGATGAGGAAACTGAGGCAAGTTAAGTGACTTGCCCAGGGTTACACAGCTAGTAAGTGTCTGAGGCCAAATTTTAATTCAGGTCTTCCTGACTCCAGGCCTGGAACTTTATCCACTGTGCCACCTAGCTGCCAGTGGAAGTTACAAAGGGGAAAATTTAGATTTGCTATAAACCTTTCTAACAATCAGAGTTGTCCAAGTAGAATGGATTACCAAAATAATTAGTAGGTTTTCTCTCACTGGAGGTACTTAAGCAAAGGCTAGAGAAGCACTTGTTATTAAAGATGCTGTAATGGGAATTTCTTTATGAGTATGGTTTAAACCAAATGGCTACCAAGGTTCCTTTCCATTGTAAAATTCTGTAATGTATTATGCCATCATTAGAGCAAGTAGGCAAAAGTTACAAAGGAACAGTTTTAAGATCAATACAAGGAAGAACTATCTATCACACAGAGTTGTCCAGAAGTAGAAATAAGGCTGACTCAGGAAGCAGTGAGTTCCCATTCCCTGCAAGTATGGAAGTAAAAGTGAATGGCCACCTTTCAAGGATTCTTTAGAAGGGAATCCTCTATGAGTTGAAGATGAGACTATATTACCTCTAGAAATGTAAACTCAAGTAAATATAATTCATTCATAATCTGCAAAAACTTACCTAGAACACCATCCCTTGTTTCTCCAACCCAGATCCAACCTACGTCTGCCCCCATTCAGCTGACTGAAAAGCAGTGATGCCGAATCCCTCTACTGATAACGTTAGATCAGAGATGGGGAACCTGCAGCCTCGAGGCCACATGTGGCCCTCTAAGTCCTCAAATGAAGTCCTTTGACTGAATCCAAACTTCACAGAACAAATCCCCATAATAAAAGGATTTGTTCTGTAAAACTTGGACTCAGTCAAAAGGCTGTACCCAAGGACACAGAAGGCCACATCTGGCCTCGAGGTCACAGGTTCCCCACCCATTAGATAATGCGAACAGAAAATAGTCACACTGTTAACTCAAGGACTCCCACATTAAGTGAATTCTTTTTTTTTTTTTTAATATGGTTAGAAAAAAATGAAGGACCTCTTTTAGCCATCATTTTTTTCTTTTTTTAAACCTCATCTAATTTGAATGGGGAACTGCTGACCAACAGTTCTCAGACATACCATTATAGATCAATAAACATTATCTTAAAGAATGACAATGATAAATTTTTTTTTCTTTTTTTTTTTTTTGTTGGGCAATGGGGGTTAAGTGACTTGCCCAGGGTCACACAGCTAGTAAGTGTTATGTGTCTGAGGCCAGAGTTGAACTCAGGCTTCCTGAATCCAGGACCGGTGCTCTATCCACTGAACCACCTAGCTGCCCCTAATGATAAATTTTTTTCAGTGTACATTTTTAATAGTCAAGTCAAATATTTAAATGTTTACCTTATGGGGCCAAAGTTCAGCATTATGAATGTCAGCACCACCATCACACACACAGCTCTCCGTTTTGGACTGGGAACTTTGAGCTTCTGATTCTACAGAGAAGGTTCACATTACACACAATCAACCTTGCATCAGTTGTACAAAAAGACATTAAGAACTTATCAGCATACAATAACCATTTTACTAGCTCACTACAACGGACACAGGAAGAAAACATATTAGTATTCAAGCACAAAAATGTTATTTCCTCTCATCAAGTGGATGAGTGGCTATCTGCAAAACTATTTTAAATAATACTGAGACTTCATCAAATTCTTGATTCCCTCTGGGAGTGAAGGACAACAATAGCAACGGACAGCCAAAATACATATAATCTAAACATATCATTTTAGTCATTAGTTTCAATCACCCAACATTGCTAAGGTTAAATATGGACTGAACTCAAGTGGTTAAGGTCAAAATTAGCAGATTTCAATTTCATTTCCTCTTCCTTGCATGTCTGTTGATAAGCTATAGAATGAATAAAATCCAGGTAACAGGAAGGAGGAAAAATAAAAGTTCTATATAATTATAAAAGTGGACAATTAGAATTGGATAAAAGTTAGTCATATAAGAAGTTATCTCCTTTATTAGACTATGTAAACTAAAATTTACTTTTAAAAAATTAATCAAAAGGTGACGTAAAAGTCCCTTTCTACAGAATATAATCCTTAAATTACTGCTATGTGGCAGACAGACAATCAGCAGAGAAGCAGGTAAACAGAACAGTATGAGTCACTCCGAAATAAATGCCCCTTTTCCAAAGTGAGTAAGTTGTACTATTTTTTTTCCTACTTATCGTCAAGGAATTTTGAGATGTTTCTGATGTTTCCCCTTATCCTCCACCCTTCACAAAAATTCCAGGAAGTTTCCCCAAGTGCTCAGAAATACAGAGTGCTTGGAAAAACAGCAAAAGAAACCTTACGTAGACACTATCTGGTTGTCTCTAGCCAGTATTTACTAACAGAACCACAATTTCCTGGGAACAAAGAGAGGAGACATGACTTGAATATCTCAGTCACCTAAAAGCTTCAAAATGATTGTCCTCAACAAAACAAAAAAGAAGGCAATGAGTGAGTGGTGAGATGTGTTGTAAATATGAATTTGAAAGTGGTTTCTTGGCTCAGATTCTTACAATCTAGCCAATAGCTCACTAATATTCAGACTCCTTAAGAGTCTGCCCAATATGACAGATGTTCTAATAAACCTTGTCTTTGGCTGAAAGAAGGCTTGGGTTGAATTCTTTTGGGCAGTACCTGCATGTTGGGATTTTGGGGTCCCAGCACCCCTAAACCCCTAGACCATAACATTTTGGTGGCCCATACAGGGAAACTGCCTAACCCCAAGTTCCTCTCTAGCCAAGACTGGAAGGTATATAACCTCCCCCCCCCCCCTTTCTTGCTCTGCAGTTGGGGTCACTCTCCAAGCACCAAGGCTTGGAGGTGCTTTTCAGGCAGACAGTTATAAGGCTGTCTCAGACTCGGCCTGATGCTCTCAGGCTCTCTGTCCACTGGGTCGGTTCGAGGCCACGGACCTGGATACACCTTCCACAGCACAGAGGACAACGAATAATGCCTTATCTGGAAACATATACGCAATTCTGTCAATTCTCTCTGTGCTAGCGAATTGGGAAAAACTGTAGTTGCTTTTTGGTACCCTGAGGCTTACTTACTCCCTTCCCTCTACACCCCGAATCCTCCTACATGGAGGTTACAGGGAAAAGTTAGAACAGCTAAAAATATCTTGGCAGATTCTAGAGGTTTTGTGATTGATCATTAAGGAGTTTTGAAATACCTCCTTACAACCCTGGTCACTCCCTTCCCTGGAGTCAAGAAGGTATCTATTAACCCCTCTCATAGAAGAGAATTTCACTCTTTCTCCCTCACCTCTGAGTTTGCCCTCCCCCACTTGGGAAAGGAAGGGGGTAGGGAAGGGGCAGCAGCTTCAGCATGGGCCCCACTGGCAATGGCCTTGGGCCCTAGGGCAATCTTTGCCTGGAAGCATCACCCAGGTTCAGCACATTCTGCTCAAGGTAAAGAAGCTGACCTCTGAACTTGGGTAAGCACACTCTTTTAAAGTTGTAGTTTTAATTGTTAATGATGACATGTTTATTCGCTGTGCAATTTGGAAATGCATTTAACAAAACTGAAGTCACCTGATTGGTAATGGATTTGTTTCAAGTTTCAAATTGGTGAACTTTTTGTATCAGTTATGTCAAGCAACATTTCATAATTTGGTTACCACTAAAATAATTTGGCTATTGTTGGTTATTGTTTTAATGTGTAAACTAGCCAAAAAGCTTGTTCGGGTTATGGCTTGCTGAGAATTTGCAAGTGTATAGAAATCTCTAATGATTGACTTTTTACACCAGGACAAATTTAAGTTTGAGATGTAAATCCTGGAAAAGTTTTTCCTAAGCTGTGATTAGTGAAACTTGCTGTGTGAGGTAAAAGCTCATAGGAGTTTATTTTGAGTTGTCTGATGGATCATAATAATACATCCATAATCAATAATCCACCATCTGAGAGAAATGCCACAAGCTACTCAGAGAAGGTGATACTGGTGGGAAGTCAGCATTGGGAAAAGCTGAGAGGACAATTTTAGCCTCAGTCTAAGATGGGATCCTCCTGGTTCAGTTTCCCCATTATGTTCCTTTGAAAAGGAATATTACCCACCTGGCTATTCCTGAGTCTGGCTATGAGGTGGATCTGATACTGCATGGTTGGAAAAATGAATTATCTGAATCCAAATAGAGCTAAGGATGTTTTATCTTGTCATATCTGGGCCCTGCAATCTTTTCTGTCAGATTTGTGTCTTCCAGACTATAGGTCATTCACCTACAATTGAGAGCAAACAGTGGGTACCAGCCAATGTCCCCTCATCATTCCCTGGATGCAGCCTGTGCTCAGTTTCAGTTAACCTCCTCTTTGGGACCCCCTCGATGCAGGGACAGCTCTACGACCCTTGACAGCAGGAAGTAGTTTCAGAAACCGAGACCTTTGCTCCTTACCCCAAAAGATTTTGGGTCTCATTTGTTTGAGGGGGGAATGATGAGGATGAGATCTAGACCCCAGAAAGGAAAAACCCTGGAATTTCCCACTTGGCCAAATCTCAGGAGTTCCCCCTGAGGCCATAATCCCATCAACTGGCCTTTCATTGTGGCTACACTCAATCTCCCAACTCTGTTACCCTTAACCTAGCCTAGCCCTCCATTGTCTTACCTCCCAATGGCTCCAGGCCACTTTCCACCCTTAATCCTAACTAGGGTCCATTCTCCCTTGGCCATGTGATCCGGGTCCCTGTAGTTCTATTACCTTATAGACTACTTGGCCACTCCTAGATCCCTCCCACAGTCTTTCTGTATATAAGGTCCATCTTGTCTCCATTAAGGTGCTCAGATTCTTAAAATCTAGCCAGTAGCTCACTAATGTTCAGACTCTTTAAGAGTCTGCCCAATATGATAGATGTTCTAAAAAATCTTATCTTTGGTTAAAAAAAAAAAAAGAAAAAGAAAGTGGTTTCTTTCCAATGCTTTATCCTGACTGTGGAAAAGGCACTCAGAACCTATTTCCCCAGTTCTACTTTATCCATTATAATATGACTATGAAGTTAAATTCTTTAACAGTTTTATACCTAGTAATGGCACTTAAGAGCTCCTTAACCTAACACTTATGTCAAACATAAGCATAAGTGAGAAATCTTTCTATTTTGTATTTCTATTTCCAATGCTCACCCAACACAGTGATCCGTACACTGGAGGTACTTGGTAAACGTTTGCAGAATTGAGTAACACCTACCTCTGACACTACTTCATCCAGCTGCCGCTTCAGGGATCCATTCTCTTTTTTAAGTCTCTCATTTTCTGAAAGGGCTGCTTTTAACCTTGCCTCCAAACCTAGCATATATTCTTTCTTCTTCTTGCGAGACTGACAGGCTGACTCTCGATTTTTGATCATGCGCTGTTGTCTCCGGAGGACAGTCACCTAAGGAAAGGGAGAAAAAGATTTAATTAAATTTGAAACCTATCTTGTTTATTCCTTCATGACCCTAGAAAGTTATTCACTGTTTACTGGTGCTTTTACATGCTGCTAACCCCATCAAAAATTACTTGTATTATCAACTTGTTTGAAGGTTCATTTTAATCTTGGTGTAAGTTAGGGTCCTTTGCAAAAATGTTGAGGTGATCTTCATAGGATAGAACATCGGCCCTGGATTCAGGAGGACCTGAGTTCAAATCCAGCCTCAGACACATAACACTTACTAGCTGAGTGACCCTGGGCAAGTCACTTAACCCCACTGCCTAACCAAATTAAAAAAAAAAAATGTTGAGGTAATCTGAGTAAAGGTCCAATGACTAAACATATTTCTCCAAACACCAACCTACTTACATTCACAGAAACCTGTTACCAGATTCACTGCACAATGGTTAATTTCCAGACTACAGCAATTCTCAAAGACCATCTACTAAGTTATGGTGAGAATACCCACACTGACAAAATTATGGACTCCTCATGTATTGAAGTTATCTGAAGTCAAAGCTTGTTAGTTATTTTTCATTTAACTTTATTTTCAAATTTGTTTAAGTGTTTTTATGTGATTATGAAATAAGTCTTACATACCAAATGACCCTTTTCTCTCATTAATTTTCATTTTATGATGAAGAGACAGATAAAGTGAACTACAGACCAATGGCCCTACTGAATATCATATATAAATATTAAATACAATGTTAGCAAAGAAGCTACAGTATCATATTTAAAAGATTATATACACTGTGGTCAGGTTGGCTTTATACCAAGAATAAAGGATTGCTTAAATATTAGGAATACTATAAACTACAGATCACATTAAAAATGAAGCACATGATTATATAGTTACAGAAAAGGTTTTTGAAAAACTAAAGTAGCCACCAATGTTAAAAAAAAACAAAACACCAAAAAGCACAGCAGTAAATGGATCTTTTCTTAACATGGTAAATAATCTCTACATAAAATCAAGAGACATCGTAGAGTGCTAATACATCTGGGTAGCCTGAGTCAATTATAATTTCTAATCATCTCATCTCTAACCACTTACCTCATCACATGGTATAACCTTTAAAAAAACACACACAGCTGCAAAGTATTCTCTGTTCAAAACTAGCCCTGTAAAAGGTGGTGTTTCATTATTAAACAAGCATCTGCACATTTATTTGACGATATGAGAAGCTTGTGTAAAAAAACTTTCATAGTTTATTCCTTTTTAAAAGTTGGATTAATTTAACAATCAACATCCCAACCATATTCTCATTTTCTTTTTTAATTAAAAATCTTTACTAATAGGTCAAAACAGAAGAATAGACCAATAATCCCAATAATTGCTAGGACTGGTATTTCAAAGGCACACATGAATATGTATTAAAGATAGAGTAAAATATGACTATTAGAAGTTCATACCAATGTTATAAACTGGTGCTTAAGTCATGTCAAATCTTGGGTAACATTAGGATGTTTACCTGCATGTCTCACATCACTCTGTGTCCTGACTCTTTTATCCCTAAATCTTCTGAGATGATGGAGCTGATCATTAGAAAGAGCAATAGTCTCTCTAGCTTGTTTGGCTGTGAATGTTTGGATTAGACCTCAGCAAAGAACTTTTAATTCTATTTGAAAGTATTTCTAAATCACAGAAGGCGGATAGCCCTATAATATTTTATCTATTCAATAGATTCTTGTTGACCAAGTTGCTTAAAACATACCACATATAAACCACAATAAACATTAACATAATACACTCTTGAAAAAGGTTTCTATCATTACTGGCCAACAGCAACAGAAGGATGAGACTGAACATTACGGTCCTAAAAAAAATCATGTGTAATAATAAATATTTATTATTGTATATTTTTAAGACTTTGCTATGCCTTGTTAAACAAATGTTGTAATCTTGAGTTTCATAATTAGGTTTAAATTGCATTGGAAAAATTTAGATTTCTGCTGTCCCTCTTTTTTTTTCAATTTCATTCTTGGCAATCATAATTTAATTTCCCTCCTTCTAAGTTTATTTATAATGCAGTTTTCCACACATCAAGAATTAACCAAAAAAGCCTTAGTACTAGTAGTCTGAACTATCATATACTAGTCAAAGCAAAAACAGCTTTCCCTCACTCTACTCGATTTCCTTATCCCTTTGAGAGTATGTCTTCTGTTCTGATGTATAACTCACTAAGTAGGAAGAAATGGTAGGCAAGGTTCTCACTAAGTTGAAGATGTGCATGGCTATGTAAGTCATTAAACAGCCATTTACAATCCTGGATGTCTACTGTCTTAGTATTTCCTTTTTTTGTCCCAATTCTGCCCCCCTTTCTTTGTTCTCGCCTCATCTCCCTTCATCCACCCCCTTCCCATGTCTTCTTGTCTTTCTCTCTTACAAGCCTCAGCCTTCCTCTTTCCGTCAGTCCCTAAGTATCCAGTGGTCCCAGCCAAAAGAATGATGCTGTTTTTATTATAGAGTAGGTATTATCTTGCTTCAAGTTTAAAGAATTTGTGACCTTACAGAATTATAATACAGGATTTTGAAAATCATCTGAGCCGTAAGTAAGATAAACTGATGATATGGGTAAAAGAGACAGCTTCTGTGCCTTTAAACAGACTGTTCTTCTAACCCTTCTTATAAATGTACTCCCTTCTAACCTTCACCTTACAAAATCCCTGGCTTCCCCATGGCATGCCTTTCCTACTCCCCCTAATTGTTACCATTTCATCCTTCCCCGAATTAAATATCATCAAAAGAATGTGTGAATTTGTGTCTCTTTTGTGGAAAGTATCTTATTAAAACACTAGGGGAGTTACAAGGAAGACAATAAAGCAAATTTATACAACCAGTTAGGATTTACAAAGTACTTTCCTCAAAAGAACCCTATGAGGCAGATGATACAAAAAATGGTCCCAACTTTACAATGAGGAAACTGAGCCCTGTAGAGATTAGGTGACTTGTTCATGGTTGCACAAGTACTGTAAGAAAATCAACTCTTCAGACTCATAAAATCACTTTTTTTCTACTACAAGATACAGTTTCTTATAATATATGCTCCCAGCTCACAAAGTACAGTAGCCTAAGGAGCAGGCAAGACCTCTAGAAAACTCAGCTACTCAATTCAGCAAGTATTTATGAAGTATCTCCTCTGTGCATGGCACTGTGCTAGACATTGACGATACAAAGACAACTCAAAAACCAGTCCTTGCTCACAAGGAGCTTTTGTCCTACTTAGAGCATATCACATTTATGCATGAAAGCAAGTACCATATGATTTGAGTAAGGACAGATGACTGGTGGATGAGAAAAAGGTTCTCATAGGAAATAGTACCTGAAATGTTCCTTGAAAGCTTATCACTTTCTGTTTCTCCAGAGGAACAAAAGAAGAGATGGTACAACGAAATAAAAGGACTCCAGGTTTAGAATTTGAAGAGACCTTGGAGGTCACATAAACTCATTTTATACACAAGGAAACTTGTGAATAGAGAGACTGAATGACCTGTCCAATGTCACAGCCTACAGGGAGCAGAGCCAGGACCAATAACCCTCTTGCTGCAGTTTCTGACCTGTCTCTTTAGCATCTATCCAGAAACCTTGCATTTTACTTTGATGTTTCCCATTTATATCCTTTTATATACATGACTAACTTTCTAAATATTAATTTTTTTCTTCAGAATATTTTAGAATCATAAAATGCACACAAATTGCTCCAATAGAGATGCTGATTACAACAGAGTTCATTGCTGCTCTAGTGCTGAGTCTTCTTGCACTGCAGGGAGGTCATAAGCTCAGAAAGTAGTTCCCAAATGACAACTACAGTATTATGTTATAAGCTCAGACGTATTTATTCCTGATGAAATGTCTTGCTCTCTGAGATTCCATATCAATGGACTGAGCATAATTAATTTTGTAATGGCCTGTCCCAGAAGAGACACAAATTATTTTTAAAAATTTTACCCATCACCATTTTTCATCCAGACCTATGATTTCCAGTATTATCATATATTAAAAATAAATTGTACATAACATGAAAAATCCCACAGGGAGCAAAATTACTCATCTTTTAATTAAATAGCATTTTCTAATACAGTGGTGGTCAAAATTTCCGTTGGGTAAAAAGGTTAAAGACATCTTTCACTGCCTTGACCTATGATCTTTCTTTCTATCCCCTTCCTCTTTTAACTGTTTAGAAGAGCCACAAGTCAGCCAGAAATACCTACCCCAGCAGGTAAAAGGGGGCCATGGTCCTTGTAGCTCAGGAATAGAAAATGCTGAACCTCTATAAGCCAGGGGAGAAGTGAAAAAAGCCAGTATGAAATTAATTTGGTGAATGGTGCCTTGCACATAGTAAACTTAATAAATGTTCCCTATGCTGATGCATTTCCCTTTAACCTTTTGCTTGTTTCATCCAACAACAGAAAACATCAATTCCACCCATCCCAAACTGCCATGCAAAAAGTTCAAACATTTACCACCAAGATGCCCATATTCACCTTTATTGCTGTCTGTATGTTAGAAACCAAGTGCATTCCCACTGTGATTACTGCTATAGTGGTATGCATATTAACACAAACTAGGCTGGAGGCTGAAGCTGTCTTGTGTATAAGAGTAAGGTAGTGTTTAATGACTACAGAAACATATCAAGCACTCACCCTAAAGACTCAATGGCCAGCAGGAGCCAGAGTCCAGAATTAAAACCAAGTCCCCTAAATGGATGCACAGGACATAACTTCTTCCACCAAAACTACTGTCATCAACTTTTCTCATCTAACACACACACACAAAAGTATGGAAGCAACTTAAAACCAGAGAGCAAGCAGGACATACAAATCTGTCCTAACTAGTTAAACAAGGATGTGAAGAATTTAAACAAGGGTCAGAAAAGACAATTAAGGGGTTAAAAAACATACCTATATAGAAACTTCTAAAAAAAAAAAGGTAAAGAAATGGTTTGTTATCAGTTTTAAAA